AATTCAAACATACCTCTTAGAACAAATGGTCTGAGGCTCAGGACAGTAATAAGGCTTTGATTTGAACATCATTTTGAAAGAATCACACATCTCTAAAAGATTAGGGAAATATAACTTTTATTTTAATGCGAGTAGTATTTTACTGGACCCTGGCAGGGTATTAGAGAAATTATCATTTTCTCATTAGTCTAACTGCCAACTAGCTCTTCCTACTTTCCTTTTCTTCACAGTGGAAGGTGTCTCAGACAAAATGCTACTTAATCAAATTAATTAAGAGGCAGTAGATTTCCAAATAATGAGATTGAGAAGGAATCAGGCCAGGAACTTAGCATGTTCAGGACTTCAAATGTTTTCTCAAGTTCCACAGACTTCAGTGGCATTTAATTGCTTTCTTGAGGCAGGTCCTAAGAGTGTGGCTTTGGGATCAAAGCAGGGAAAAATTTTGTTAGGCAAAAAGGTGCCATCAAGTGGACTTAAGAAAATACGGAAGTGTTGTTGAACTTGTCAAAAGAATTTCCTTTAAGAATATCCAGCTCTGTCAGTGCCTTCATTTTTTAATTAAACGTTCTGACAATTCAGGTTAAAACAACCTTTTGTTTCAGAATTTCTTTTGCTATATAGCCATAAAGTCTGGAATCAAAACCACAATTGACCTGATCTTTTTTTCTAATCCATTGTTAAAAATAACATAGTTCTGTGAGAAACTGAAATAATTATTTTTGAACTGTCAGAACTGCTGAAGAATGTAAAAATGAAGCAGCTGGAATAAAAGCAGTCCATGTACAGGAGTAAAAATTTGTGTTCTACATAAAGAAAATCCTTTACAGATACTTTATTACTTAGCTTATTCAATTGTCATATGCCGTTAACTGCTGTGAATACAGAGAAGTTTTATTTTAGCATATATATTGAAACCAGAACTTATTTATTCAACTATGATGTATTCATCTGCATCCCATTTTAGGAAGAAATACCTAGTTGTTAGTCACTTGTGATTAATACTTCATTACTATATAATATTCTCTGTAAAACTCACACAGGCACCACCTCTTGGTCAGGCTCTGTGCATCACAGGGCTGTCAAATATCACAGCCTGGTCCAGGTGTGCTGTCCACTGGACCTCAATTTGTTGCAACTGGACTCCCTTGCTGCGTCCAGCATGATGCAAAGGACTGGGGTAGAAACTAGATCCAGGCCATTCAGGAACCCTCTCCAGAGACAGACCTTTCTTTCTCTTCTTTTCCTCACAAAAACCTCTCTTAGCAGTAGGCTCCTGGTAACGATCTAATCTGAAGCTTTCGGCCCTGAGTTTTAGGAGGCACAACAGCATTTGGGCCTCATGACAGACTGTGAGTGACCACAAGCTCCAGGGTGGAGGCAATGCCTTCTTGTAGGGCACCTCAGAAGTGATGCTCTGCTATGTGCTAGGTAACCACCCTGGTTTGGTGACAGCACACTGTGGAAGAGATACCTCAGAGCTGCTCAGTATTTATGCTGCTGCAGAGAAGCTTCAGGCTGGACTCAGCTGCACAGGTCTCACACTATGTCTGATTTGACAGAACTGTCATACCAGAATAGAATCATAAAATCATTAAGGTTGGAAGGGCCCTTAAAGATCATTAAGTTCCAACCCCTCTGTCATGAGCAGGGAACTCTACCACTAGATCAGGTTGCACAAAACCTTGTCCAACCTAGCCTTAAAAACCTCCAGGGATGGGGCATCGACAACCTCCCTGGGCAACCCATTCCAGTTCCTCACCACTCTTACAGTGAAGAATTTCTTCCTAATATCTAACCTAAATCACCCCTCTCTCAGTTCAAAACCACTACCATGGTTTCACCATTACCACCTTGCCCATCTCCCTGTTTGTTTTGAACAACCACCTCTGTTTGTCCCCCAGATTTTTCAGGGACTTGCATGGTAGTAAAGCACAGAGGCAAAGGTTTAGCACACATCCTCCTGTCTCCTCAAGGATATAAGAACTGAGTCGACCTCTGATAAACATCATGTGCCTTGGCTTAGTGCAATTCCCCTCAAACTGATCTCATGTCCTATGTTCAAGTCCTTTCTGGAGAGTCAAGTCCTCACCTCTCACCTTCAAGTCCTTTAAGGAGAGCTGGTTTAATTTGCACTTACTCAGAGTCAACTGACACTGGTAATGAAGTACTGCTCACATGAAAAAGCACATCTGCTTGAAATGGTTTCTAAGCCTTATTTGGCAAAGAGGTCAGCTGAGGAAAACCAAAGTTCTTCACTGTGTTTTCACAGGTGGGACATTGAGGGGAGGCGATGGGCAAGGAGGCATCTTCACAGCAAATAGCAGAATTCTTGAAGAGGAAGCCATCAAAACTACTGAGAATAGAGCTTTGCTTTCCTTGTTCTTTCACAGATCTCTGACTCAGAGGGTGCAATATGAAAATGTGTTACTCTCTTACAAGAGGATAGCTATGGTGCATGTGCTATTCATGGAAACCACTGGAATCTGTGACTTGCAACAATTTCTGAAAGCTCATCTCTCTATCTCCATTTGCAAATTCTCTCCCTTCTTCTCCACTGTAGCACCATCTCGCTACAAAGTCTCTAAGAGAAGGCGTCAAATAGGGTGAAAGAATTTAAATATTTCCATAGAGAAAGAAGAGGTACCTCACGAGGCACTTCATTCAGAAGTTGTGGTTTTAAAGCCTTATGAGAGAGTGCTTTATTCTATTTTTTTAATTAAAGTTAAATGAAAGCAATAATGAGCATTAAATGGAATTAGCTGAGATGAAGGAGAAACAGCCCAGCTAAGATGTCACATAAAGAAAAAAAAAAAAAAAAGAAAAATAAAATAATTGGACAGAAGTGTTTCTGAAACTAGCTATACAGAAATGAAGAAAGTCATGTAACCAAGTAAAGAGCAACATACTGCAGATTTTTGTTCTAATTGTTAAAAAATGTTCTTTCCCACTCTCAGACCTTCTAGTTCAAGTTTGAGCCTGAAGCAAATTTTTACAGTAGAGTTATAAACCCATGAAAACAGAGGTTTATAATGGAAACACTGGCACAATCCTAACTAATGGTGTTGTGCCATGGGGTGCCTCTGTAATAAAAAAAGTCTCTGAGCCTGTATGCTAGCCACAATAGCTAGTAACACCCAAAATAGACCCATTAATAGACCAAAGTGGATGAAACATCAGCAGCACTAGCTTTCTGAGATAAAGCAAGTAGAGGAAGTCCTACACTGTAAAGGATGACAAACAAATGATTTTTCACAGCAGTGAATAAATGCAGACTAAGAACCATGCTTTGAGAAAATGATGGGTTATTAAGGTATGGAATTTAATATCATTGTCAATCTATAAAACTTTTACAACCTAGTCTTATTTGCACAGAGATTACATCCCCAAAGCTCAGTGCCAAAGACACATGTTAATAAGCTCACAACTTTTAATTAAGCAATATGTATAAGTAGAATCCCATTAAGCTGTGATTTGTGGGCTAGTTCATTACAGTGGGTTCCAGCCACCAGACACATATTCAATACAAATCAAGCAGCCTGCATATTATCCAGTTTAATGTGAGCCTACTTGAGATATTTTATCACTAGTTCAGATTGGTGTTTCAGAGAACTATATTTTTTTCTAAGATTGGGGGCAGTGACCAGAACCTTATAATGACCCCATGTTGTTTTCTTAATGAAACTATCCATCTGAATTGTTTAGTTGCAACTGGTAATTGTTTATACAGTTAATCATAGTTCTATTATATACAATATATATATGACATTCAGCCAGAACTCATTTGCTCTCATTTGAATTAAATGCATAAAATAAGGCATGAAAGAAGGAAATATGGATATTAAAACATGGAACGATAAAAATAATTCACACTTTTACTCCAAAGAGATTGATGACAACATTTCCCACATCTTGAAATAACTCTCTTTCGAGTTTCTGAATTGGGCTAAAATTTCTGCCCCCAGTTTGTGACACAAGGTGTCAACTAGAATTTTTTCAATCAGCTGTGATCATGACACAGTGTGGCATGCCATTTCACATCTTTCTCAGATAGTTTTCCCATTGATCCCATCAGCAGTGAGGATTGTGCTGCAATCTGACACATCAGTCTCAAAAAGAAGACTGAAATTCTTCGACATTTAACAAGGGGTTTTTTTGGGCAGAACTCAGAAAATAATGGATCATTGCATCATAATCTAGAGGAAATTACTGTACTCACATTTCTGGAAAATAATCCTTCATAATAGCTTTTTCTTCTGATATTCCTTCCATAATAATAAACTATGGAATTAACCTCACTACATATTTACGGTTATCAGGACTTACAACTGTTATTGTTAACAACTCTTTCAGTAAGGATTTAACTGTAATGAAATATGCATTTTATTTACTGACTGAACTTTTTTGCATACCCCCTCTTTAGCCCCTGTAAAAGTCCACAGAACACTTTGGCTCAATTTTAATTTTTATTTTTTTTTAATTTAAATTTTCTAATTTGCTACTGAAATGCTCCCTAAGCATCCAACTAATGTAATTATACTGTCAAGAGCTGCTCAATATTTATTTGGAAAGCAGAATTTGCCATCCAACCCCAGAGCAGTGGTCTTTCTTACTCAGTATCTTGGTAACAGCAGTGGCTTAGATATGAGGCTTAATGAAACCAGGGTTGAATGTGTTCCAGTAGAGGAGGCCCCAGGCTGAAAGAGAAAGGTGGGAGCTCCTGAGAAGGAGACATGAACTACAAATCAAGAAGACAAGGAGAGAAGAAAGATCATAATTAGCTATAGCTCTAAATGTAACAAGAAGAATTTTTCAATCAATATGGTAAGCTGCTTGTAGCCAATTAAAAAACTGTAAAGTAGGGACAATGCCATATGTAGATTAGGCTAGTCTCATAAAAAGAGCCTTAAAGCAGTGTTCCATAGTTCATGAATTGATTTTGCTTGAAGGCCGGAGAAAAAGGAGCTGCAGTAAGCCAGTTCGATGGTAACGAAAGCAGTACCTCAGAGAACTCCATCAGTGGCTAATGGTACAGTCACAGGATTTTTATCCATCCCTTTTTTATCAAAGTTTCGTCCCACCTCACCAACTTTCATAGGATCACACTATAAGGAAGATTTGTATTATTATTATTATTGTTGTTGTTGTTATTATTATTATTATTACACTGTTTCTGAATTGAGTAGAGCAATGTAGACCTTGGTAAAAAAAGGCACCTCTACCTTCAGCTTTAATTCATCATTGAATTCCAGCATTTGGAGGAGAGAGGAAACTAACACAAATCCCAGAAGCTGAAGAGTTAAGAACAGACTCTTGCAGTCTGCAGAGAAAGCCTGGAGTCTAGGAAAACACCCAGACATATAGCTGTTGAGACAGGAGCAACATTACAGCCATTAAAATCAAATGTCAGAGAAGGAACAATGCCTATTAGCTTTTAGAAACCAAAAATGAACAGTTCAGCTTTATCAAACAAATGGCTTGCACTATCCAATTACTAACTTCTGATAAGCACCATGTCAATTTTGAAATTGTACTGCTGAGTCTGTGCAGAAGAAAAAATAAATCTGAGTTATCCACATAACAAGGATAAAAGGAAGCCAAACTATTACAAACCTGACCTAATTACCCAGGCAAATCAATCCCCTTTCAGGAACATTGTAAAGCCAGTAAAAACCCTGTTGCCTTCTCTGATGAAGCTCTGACCTTGTATGAAACCCCTTTACTCTCCTGTTCAAATTCCGTCTGATCAGAAGCCTTAAGAAGTCTTCCGATTGGCTCCTTCACTTGGAGCAGTATCATTTGTAGCATCTTTTTGTTTCATCTGACACGGGAACACAACAGCTAGGACAGTGGGTACCCCAGCTAAGAGGGCAGCAGAGGGCCGCAGCCTGCAGAGGGAATGGAACTCCCCACCTACTGCACATCATTTGGCATAGCCCCAGGGGGTGTCTAGCAAGCATCCTAGAGAAAGCCAAGGGTGTAACCAAAAGCCTATTTGCTTTTTTAGAGTAATGTCCATTGTGTTAATGGAGAATAAAAAGGTTTCTTCAGTGTTGTTAAGTCTGAAGCTGCTTGGCAAAGCCTATTTTGGTGTTCTTCTCGATTCAGGGTACATTAGTTGTAGATAAAGTATGGATTGAATTTCTCCCTCAGAGCAGACAAAATGAATTATGAAAACAGCACCATTACAATACAAAAAATAGTAACAAATAATAATAATAAAAATTAAAAATAACAATAACAACAATAATAGTAGTAGCAGTAGTTTAAAAACATCATAAAATACAGCTGATTTTTTCTATTTGAAAATATGTTTATGTGGTTAAAAATAAAACATATTTTTCACACATTCTTATCTAACATATGGTTGTCACATAAACACTTGGATGAAGCCTTGAACTAAATAGAGCTAATGCTTGCTTGGCCTTTCTGATATATCCTGACAAAGCTGAAAGAGGGTGCATAGCACCAGGGATATGGTAATATTGGAGAGAAAGCTAATACCTTCATAGGATTATTTATGAATTTTAAAACATACAGCTACTTAATGACTCTGCTGACAGCCCTAGTAGTGCTGGGAGTGTAAGCCACCGTAGAGCTGAACAGGTTCCCTTAGTGGACACCCAGCCACTTTGATCCATTACACAGGCATTTTGTGTCTTGCCTGCTCCAAAGCCAGGTGGCAGGAGTAGCTTTGAAGCTGTCTACGTTAGTGACTGAGATGAGCTTTTGGGGCAAATCTTCCTGATGTCCCTGCTTACCGTGTTTTCTGCTCCACAATGCAGCAGTCTTGGGGCATATTCATTAGATTCCTTAACTGAAACTAGGCCGGAAGAATATTCCAATTTATTCCTGAAAACTTATTCCAGAAATGAAACTACCTTCCTCCAATACCTAATGGGCATTAAATCCACAGGACCAGATTAAAACTGGTCTGAAGTAAACCCTCACATGCCCACATGCCACCCTAGGAAGTCCATGTTTCATCCCCACCATATAGCCATCTTTGAGGACTCAAATTTCTGTCTTACCACTCACAATATATGGAGTTAAATAAGAAACACTGGACTTCCAAATAAACCTTTAAACCAGGCAGACACCAAGCAGAAATCCACTTGCAGAAAGCCAGAGTTGCAGCTGTGCTGGCTGAAGAAACAACAGCATCGACCCCACCTGTCCTCACCACCCTCCGTTCAAAGAGTACTGTGCTCAGAGCTGCCAGTGGAGCTGCTCATGTGGATGCTCTCTTACCTGGTTTTCGTTAAAATGGACCTGCAAAGCTTCAATGGCTAGAACAGAAGGTATTTGCTGCTCATCCTGAAACAGGTGAGGCAGATCTCCCATGGGAGCTGTTCCTGCATGAAAAAGCAGCTGCAAATGATCTCTTTAGGTGGCACAGCTGCTCTCAGAGCTTGGGTCCACAACAATAGCAAGGGTAGAAGAGGAAAGCTAAAAATTAGACACCTGGTTGCGACAGCTCTTAATCCGGTGTCACTATTTTCTTTCTGGACCAAGTTGTGCCTGTATCAGTTCTTTCAACAATCTGTTTAAGATCCTGCTGCCTGTCAAAGGAGCACAGATGATCCCTCAGCTCCTAAGTACAGCCCCAGCCTTGTGTAAAAAATGTCACATTCCTGATAAGCTGGGTTCACTTGCATAAGACCATTGATTCATAGGGAAAAGCCAGAATTTAAGAGTTGTTGGTAGGCCAATGTAATGTGGCAACCTTTCCACTGTCAGCTGTCCACAAAACTTCTATACCCCAAACATGAGCAATTCTTAAAAGAAATATGTAAAAAAAAGCACAGGATCAGAGAAGGCTATTGTGAATTCCTGTCCACCACTTCTTAAAAAAAAAACATTATTTGCTAAGACCATTAAAAATGGTCTGAAAGATTCTACAAAAAAAAGTAATGTATTTTCTTGGATAATGTGCAGCTTCTCTAGTATGTTCACAGGTAACATTTGTGGAAAAAAGACAAAAGCCTTCAAACATTGAGCTTTAGTTAAAAAATTAGGAAATAAAGACTGAAACAGCATGGACAACAGACAATCCCCTGAAAATGTTTCAAATACAGAGCCTGGCCACTGAAATCTGTCTTGCTATTGTTCTATTCACATGAGCACATATACACACACATTCATACACTGGTTTTAGATGCAAAGATAGTTGTCTATTGCTCCAAATTCAAGGTGGTTATATTTTCCTTTGCATAATGAAGTTCTAATATTTATCTGAAACAGTATTGTGGGGGTGCTTTTTTAAAAAAATAAATAATATTTTATTATATAAGGACCCTGTGCCTTTGGAGTAGGAAACTGTTATAAATGCATGTTGTAGTGCAGATGAGGAACTTCTTCAATTTCATTAACAAGTAGCAAGATCTCTGCATATACCTCCCATACAGAATGTTTTAGAAACATGCCCTATTATGTCTAGTTAAGTCAACCTTGTGTCATTATTTCATATTAGTGTATACGACAGGATTGGCATACCCAGAAAAGATGCATCAGAACCATTACATGTCAGCCAAGAAAATGTAAAAAGGACTTTTTTTTTTTTAAAAAAAAAAACAACAACTAGGTTAAATAACACAACCTTAAATATTTTGAGAAAAAAAAACAACAAACATCGGTACCAAAAAGAATGTGTGTTGTTTTAAGATTTAAAGAAGTACTTCAAATAAAGATCTTTTACAACAAGAAAAAAAAAAAAAAAAAAAAAGAAAAAAAAAAAAGAATTGAAAACTTCTGAGTGCACAGCTAAGTAGAAGAAGATAGGGAAAGGCTCAAATGCCTTGTTTTAGAAACTACATTGTAAAAGAGAGACCATTTTTTTCAGAAGGAAACATTTTTTAAGCAAGCCAAGATTTTACAAAATATTCTTTCAGGCACAATATAATTGTCCTACACTACTAGTAGTGAGAATTCTGCTGGACTACACTGATTTCACTACAGTGTTACGCACAAGTTAAGCACAAAAGGAAAAGGTACTTTTTGGGGGAAGATCTTATCATTTTCACAGATGCCCAGAAATGTAGGACCAGAAGAAAACTCAAAACATCTCTATCCAACCTTTGTACTAAAATAGATGAACTATCTACCTAATCCCTTGGGAATGGTTGCCATGTCTCATTTAAAAAAAAAACAAAGAACAAAAACAAAAAAACCCAACCAAACAAACAAAACAAAACAAAACAAAACAAAAAAAACAACCCAGAATTTGCAACAAGCTTAAGCTGATTGCCCTGTATCCTTCCTTCTCTGACCAAAGAAAAAAATTGATGGTCGTCTTTACAATGACATGTTGAGACAGCAGGTTTAAGTGTCTCACAACTCCCACTGCTGTGGAGGAAACAATGTTACTGCGCAATATAAAAGTATCAATGTCAAAACCTCCTTGCATGTAAATTCTCACATCTTCGTTGTCTTTAACTGAGCAACCAAAAAGATACTTGTGCTCAGGATCAGGCTTCCCATCTCTAGATCACTGGATAATAATATCCTATTAAGGAGATATGAGAGGGAATCAGAAAAGCTCATCAAAATGTTCGGTGACATGGCAGCAGATTTATGAGGGAAAGAAAAAAAAAAAAAAAAAAAAAAAAAAAAAAAAAAAAGATGTCATTATAAAGAAGAAGAAAAAAAAAAAGGTCATATTCATTAGTAAAAGAGGAAGACCTAAAGAAGGTGCAGGAGATGCGAATATTACAGATCTACCAGCACTTTGGCTTTTTGTTGTTAAGATAAAAGGAGGTTTTCTTAGGGCATTTTAATAAAATGAGGTACTGCTTCCCTTAATTTTTACATTTTCTGTCTTTTTATTATCATAGCAATACATCTTCAACTGCTTCCTTAAGCATTAACAGCTGATTTATTTAATAAAACTGAGGACTGAGCATCTCTGGAAATACTGCTTCCAATGGAATGCTCCCATACTGTGATTGGTGAAGTGCTAAGTAATTTGCTTTTAATGCTAGCACATACCACTTAGCACTATATTTAACTGAATGATGAAAATCACTCATTTTTCATCCCCTTGCTTAACTGGTGCTCAGTGTAATCTATCTGCTGTACTGTGAGCCTAGCTCCAGATATATTCTAATAGACCTTGCTCTCCAATCTACAACAAGCATTTTAATTTTTAATTCATACTTATGTCTTTATCCTTTAATAGAACAGAACTACAGATGGGGAGTATGTTTTAGATAATAAGAGCACAGTAGGTACCTAGGGAAACTACACCACTAAAAGGATTCTTTATTTACACTTTTCAGTAATGACTACATATATATAGCTACACGGGAGAAAATTGTTGTAAAGGAGCACTGCATAGACAGGCAATTACTAGCCAACTATAACTGAGCATTATGGATTCTGTTGCTGATAATAGCACTTCAGAAAACAATTTCAAAGCCAATGCCGCCCAGTGTATATTGACCAACACCATGGGAACTCACAGGATGTGATGACTAAAATGAATAGGTAGGACTGTACATTCGCAGCAAAAATGTAAGGGAATTTACTTGATATTTAGGAATAATTTAAATTCAGCTTTCAGTAATATGCATTTCTGCAGAATTGTACAGCCTGGATCAGATTAAAGTCATTGCAGACATGCCAACAATAGCTGAGGGAGCAAAAGTGGTACATCAAGTCTTTCAGGCTAAAAAAATTCTCAGGACTGGATCCATATTTCTTAAAAAATCAGCATATTCCTATCAGAACTGAAGGTGTGGTGGCTCTGCACATAAAGTCAGTTTTGTCATCAGACTAAAGAATGGCATGTTACCAACACTGAAGTCAAAATCTCACAGAGCCAGACTGTAAATCTTAACTCGGTGGAGGGAAACTTAGCAGATAATATTGCCCAAAGGAATTTTAACATTGTATTCATTCACATTCAGAGGCAAAACTCAGACCACAAGGATTCGCAAAATATGATGTTGCCCACAGTATGCTGTCTTCTTGGTACTGTTACCTGTAAGCTGCAGTAGGTCACCACCATAACTCATAGCAGAGGGCAGTCACGTACATAAGCAATCCCACAGGTCTCTACTGCATTGCTTGTGTCATTCACTCATCGTGGGGTAACTGGCACTACCTCAGATACTGGGGTAATCAGCGAAAAGTACCACTCTGCTCTGGCAGAAAAAAATCCATAGAAAAATTCTGGGACTGAATGGTTTCTCTTCAGTTAGTTTCTTTTTCAGTATTATGTACCATGAAGTGTTAACAGGCAAAGCAAACATTAAAAAGGCAATTTTATTTTTGTTATGACAGAGAGAAGTCATGCAAGTAATATCTGATGCAATAGAATCCACAGAAATCACATCAATTCTTGCAGATACTCAGAAGACCTTTAACAGCATTTCTGTCTGGGTGTAACACGTACAAACACACACGTACACACATACATACAAGTTTATTAAAAGAAAGAAAATTTTTAAAGTGGAGAACAAACTTTTATCTTGCAAACCCAAAGAAAAACTCTTGAGAAGCCACGTTTAAATTTCCAGGTTACTACGTAATGTCATTAATGATTATTCGGATGGATGAGAACCATAGATTTAGGCATCAAAATCTACCAACAATGTTCAAGACATTGAGAAAGATCTTGCAAAGATGCATCTGAAAAAGTGTTGCCATACCAGTGTGAATAAAGGGACACCAGAAAAGTATGCATATTGGAAAAAGGTCACTGATAACTATGTTAATTGATTACAAGTGTTCTATATAAATTATTCAAAATAGCAGGAAAGTAAGATTTTTTTCCTTTTCCATCAAGATTTTTAAGACAAAAAAGATTATAGTACAAGGAACACTAAGACTCAGGGCATTCTGACTTGGGTGACTTTGAGCAAATTACTTCACCTTTCTTGCCCTTTGTCCCATTCTCACCTTCTTCTGTTTTCTCCAGTAGTCCTTGTCTTTGGGACACACACTTCTTTTCTTATGCATTTGTATGAAGCCAAATAGAATAGGGACTGACTGGATCAAACTAATGAGCAACACTTTAATATCTGTAAGAAATCAAGAGGAAAACCTCCAGGTTGCTTTAAGCTGCTGTAGCTCCCAGGGAAGCAGGCCTGACCAATGTTAAGACTGAAGCAAAATTATCTTCTCTGGGATCTGGTAAATTTTGCATCCTATTGGGACTTGGCTACAGAATTGATGGCATGAAGCCATCATTGTTCCTCTTCTGGTCATCTTTGCAGCCTTGTAATTACAATAGTGTTGTGCTTTGAACGCTTACAGAAGACACTGTCAATACTTTTGTCATGAAATTGAAACAGAAATCAGCAACATTTTCCCCACTACTGCTAGCAGGAACAAGCACACCTGAGAAATCTAGGAATGTCCCAGTACTTGGAAGGGAAAAAAATACTATGAAAAAATATTTGCATGATCCGATCTGTGATCTGACCCAGTGAGCTCACCACTCTGAAAAGTTTGTTGAAGCCACAGAAGAGCCAGGAATGGAGCATTTGCATGACAGCATTGTGTCAGACAGTAACCATACCATGGATGTGGATCACGATGCAAATAACTCTGTGGACACAGCCTTTCTGCAGGGATTAGCTCTTGTTGGAGACAATGTGGTTTTCTGAAGATTAGGAAAAAAAAAAAAAAGATGTAGAGAAAGACATGATGTAAATACACAGGCAACACTGTACTGTAACCCCTTCCCCAACAAGAGGGCTTCAGGAGCAAGAGCCTATACACTAAAGTTATCAATTTTCCTTAAAAATAATGTGTCTTGTGGTCTCATGTTAGCTTTCCAAGGTCCCTCTGTCATCAGACAAGATTACCGTGGATTTAAAAATAACACATGGTGCTTTTAACTGAACGTCACTCCTCAGACAGCATCAGTGACACCACTAGGACTCAGCTAAGTGCAGGAATCTGGTGGAGCCAGATCTGGCACTGAGACCCTGTGTAAGGAAGGAGAAGAAGCTGGTATCTTGCAATAATAGTGATATACGAGGACACCCAGTGTGTTCTGTAATTGTCTGTCATCCAACACCTTGACACTACCTTTGATGAGCAGTAACTTCACTGAGCAACTTGGCCATACATGTTCCACTCTGCATGGACATCTGTAGGTGCTGGGAGGGGTCCAGTGGTTGTCAGTACACAGTGGAAAACACAATGCAAATCTGAGAGATTGGGACTTTCACACTCAGACCAATATGTGCTAACACATACCTACCTTATATATAAAGTAGCTGCTTTAAGCCTGCACTCAGCGTAATGTAAACACTGGCCACCCTCAGCATACTTTAAACGTTGGCCCTTGCTCCACATGGATTCCTCTGGACTGAGTTGCCATTCTGCACTTCTGAATGGAAACTGTGCCAGTGTTTGGGTGAATGACTGCTCCTCAGCCTTCAGCACACTTGCAACAGACCTATTAAACTACCCAAGGATGAAGACACACTGGAAAACACAGCTGTGACCTTTCAGCCCTAACCAATCACACCCTAGTCTTTCCAAGAGTAACTGTGCTTTCGGATTAATATGTTTTCTTCTATCCCTCCCATGGTTTTATGCTTAGGTGTCAGCATTGTTTTTTCAGCTAGGTACAGAAACTGAAAATAATACCTTTCCAACTTGCTGTACTCTTTTTCCTCTCCCTCAGCTTGATACATGAAGATGTACGCAGCACGCTGTCTGTTTGACTTACGCGCTCCTGGGCTGCGTTCATTTCGTTACACAAGAGATTTTCTCCAGAAATATCACCAAATGCCTGAAACACAGAAAGGACAAAACCAACTTATTATTATCGCAGCGTTCAGTGAAATATCAGAGGGAACAGAAATGACTTTGATTACACTTCCCCACCCATCTCTTCTTGCCTTCAAAACACTGTGGCGTAGGAGCTTTTGCGTGTGTGAAATTTTATTCTGTCATACTAATAACCCAGCTTTACAGAAGTTTACATTTTGGCTTTCATGGTTCAGTTCCACTCCTAGGCTTATAACAATTTTTCTAACAGTTCTGCCAAAATATTATAAAGTAAAAGTTACTGTAAATCTATTCACTAATACAGATAGAGCAGTAAGATTAGCAATTTAAACACATGTGAAATGTGAATTCGCCTAATTTTTCTCAGCCTCTAAATGCTTTAGTAGAACAGTGGAATGGGGATTTTCCTGCCCATTGCTTTTAATAATTGCTTCTTATTATGTTCTTGACACATGGAGAAGATTTGAGTGAATAAAGAATAGACCTTCAAAGAAGAAAATCATGGCCATGAGGAGGAGATGATGTGTTATAGGACTAGAAACTGGTTATAAAGCCAAGACACTGCATCAGATCCAGCTCAGTTAATTAGCAGTTACCACATCGCATGTCAGATCCTCAGATTGTATCATGTGGGTGGCATTTTGCACAAGAGTGTCCTGGCTTCAATTGTTTTCACTTTCTGGAGGGGGCATATAAGAGAAATTTTGCTCAGATGAATGTGAGCAGAAATCAACTTGCAGACATTGAGAAGTAACAGAGCCTTAGCCCTGCCTAGCTGCTGTTACTCAAATGCTAGCATGGAAAAAGCAGATTGCTCCCGTAGTACCGTAAGATTTTGATGAATTTTGCTCTTCTGAACCCGGTTTAGCACAGCTGTAATAAATTATACAAACACTGCTTTATGTAGAGGAATAATCTCTAATTTCTATTGCATTTCTGTGCACTTGTAGAATCTGTCTGATGAAGTATCTTAAAACCTTTGTTGTACTTTGGGTTTGAGACCCTGTGAAGCTGGGAAGGGCTGTTACCTCTGGAACAGGAGGATACAGGCAATGCAGGGGGTATTTCGCACTTCATGTGAAAAAATTGTCATTGAACACTGGAGTGATCTTGTAAATCCTACATCCTGGGGAAGTTCCTTTTTATCAGGATATTCCTCCTTCTTAGCTAGGTACCGCTTACACAGAACACCTACCACTTTATTTTCATTTTAATTCTGCCAGAATAACAGATAGCATAGTTTTAGATTGTGCTAAACTGTTTCTCTCGTGGCATAAAGGGTCTTCAGGGCAAGTCAGACATACAAAAACATGGCAGGGCTTCATAGCAACATGTTTAGAATACACAAAGTCAGGAAGACAGAACATAAAAAGGAAGCCTATAGCACCAGTGAGCTAACAGAGCAGCAATATTTTTCCTATCACAATAACCTGAGAAAAAATTAAGAAATACCATTAGAGTATACCTGGAGATTTAAACCTAATTCTTCAGAAGTTGGTACACTAATTTCACAGAATCACAGAATCATTTAGGTTGGATAAAAATTTGAATATCAAGTCCAACCATCGATGCAGCACACTGCAAAGTCCACCACTAAACCATGTCCTCTATTTGCCATAACTATACGTGTTTAAATATCTCCAGATATGGTGACTTCACCACTTCCCTGGGGATCCTGTTCTTCTGGTTAATAAATTTTTCCTAATATCCAATCTAAACCTCCTCTGGCACAACTTGAGGCCATTTCCTCTCATCCTGTCACTTGTTACTTGGGTGAAGAGACCAACGCCCACCTCAGTCCAACCTCCTTTTAGGTAGTTGTAAAGAGTGAGGAAGTCTCCCCTCAGTCTCCTTTTTTCCTGGCTAAATACTCCCAGTTGCCTCAGCCGTTCCTCATAAGACATTTTTCTATGCAAAAAAAAGAGGATAGGGAGGATATTTAAAGTCCACTGGAAAATCTTTTCCCTTGGTGCTGGTAAACAGATAGCAAAAGCTGTTTCAGACCTGATAGTTCACATACCCAGAATGCCTCACTGAAGCAACAGAAACCCTTTGCTACACTTACAGTGCTATCACTTACTTGTGTAGTTTAAATTGAAGCTTGTATGGATTTGTCAGAATTGTAGACTCAATCAGATATTGTGTAGAGTTCTTTTATTAAAATAAAGTCCGAGTTATTGTTTCTGAGAGTGACTTAATAGCAGTAACCTTATGGTTAATCAACCATATTGCAAAGTTCACTGTGCACTTACTGCAGTGTAATTATAAAGTGAGCAAAAATATAATTGATGTATTTTGTCAATCTGTGTAGCTGCAAGGTACTTTTTCAAAGGTTATTTTTTATTATTATTATTCTGATAAAATAAGTTAATGCTGTTTTGGCAATTACCCTTTGACTTCGGAGATTTTACTGCTGATTCAGGTAAAACACTGTAGTAGATTAATAAGGATTATATAAGCATTTTAGATTACAAAATATCTCCTAAAACAATCAGTAGCTCTACCCTCACAGCATAAAGTCATTCTGAAAATCACTGAAAATACAGCAAATCTGAATTTTTACAGTGGTTTGGAACTAAAAGGGAAGTGTTTAAATACCAAATAGCACTTTTAGAGTAACCCCTTAATTATTATCAGTGATGTTTGTTATACAGCATAACTACAGTGATTTGAAAACATTTTTCCCATGAGGGTTGGCTCAGACTGAATGGATGTGATTTAACTTGCTCCCACCACATTTGTGGACATTCAAAGGAAACATCTCTAAATGCTCTGATCCCCATTGAAAAATGAATGTAAATATCCATGCCTATTAGATTATTTGTGTATAGGTGGGCTAGGTATGTAACCCTTACTCCTCTCCCCATGTTCTCTGCCAGTAATAAAGAAACCAGCATGATTAAAAATTGTATATTCATATACAAAACAAGGTTACAATGCTGCAGTGTAGGTATTTCAGTCATTTTCTGGTTATCTGAGAGCTTGTGTGTCCTGCAAGAGTGGTGGACGTGTTTCATTACTTCCCTGGTCCTCCTGTCAGACCCCAGACTCCACTATAGATACGTATGACATGGCATCTTTTGAAAAAAGATGTAATTTTCCTTACGGCTCTGTGAGTTTCTGGGGTGGAGAGTAGATTGAACGTGGGACTTGGAGAAAACTAGAGAGGAGAAAAACAGCCACATATTGCAAGGCTGCCTCCTGCATTTCCATCCTGTTGCATGCAGCAGCATAACCTTAAGGTGATAATCTTAATAGATTAAAAATTAATAGACACAGTTTCTATTTAACACTATTCCTCACTTTGCTGAAGAAAAAAAAAAAAAGGTAAGGATTTAATCCTATACTTGATAGGGTGATCAACCTAAAACAGAAAGTATGGAGACATAATTTCTCCTCAGCTAAGATGCAGTGTGCACATCCTCTTCTTCTGCAGCAAATGGACTGGCTTAGCTATCACAAGGGCAAGGAACTACAGACTGGGTCTGTTTCGGGACAGGATCACACATCATACTTGAGATGAGATGGATCAGTTTAAGATAAAAGCATACAAATGCAAGATTTCTCCAGGAAAACCCTTTTGCTTGTTCTCATCTTTTCAGTGGGGTAAAAAGAGCTGCCAGGACAACTATTTTATTTCTTGAACTGATTACCTTTAATAGGATTATAACATTAAAGGATAAATAAATACTGGTAAAGATAACTTAAAAGAGTCTGGTTTACTTATTTGCAGAGAAACTAGCAACACTGCCATGACACTCAACAAAAAGTCTTTGAGTTTGCAGGCTGTAGTGGTTTAATTGCCTATGTCCATGAGAGTATCCCTTAGCTGACATTTTATCGTGTTTGATTCCCAGCTGAACCTCAATGTAGGTTGAGAGGGACCATCCTCCTGCTGACAGCTGTTGCAAAATATTGACTTCAGTGGCACAAGATTAGATCTCAGAATTAGGCAGGCAGCTTGTGGCAAAGCCTATTCAGCCCAGGAGTATGTATACACATGCATGCATTAACGTGGGTGGAATCACTCTTGCAAAGGACAAACCTTTGCTGTTAACTCCTAGTTGTGTAGGGGTCTCCAAGGAACTGACTTCTTGTAAACTGGCCATGCTTGTGGATGACCTGGCATGATGTTAGTGTGGTTCAATTTACATCAAATAGGTACCTTTGCCCATCCTCTCCCCAGCCATGAAGTCAATACCCACACACCTCACCTGATCCAACTTATGGTTTGGAAAGGCCAGAGCTTTTCTGGTCTCTCTGTAGGGTCTGGTGAGATGATGAAGCCATTAGGTAAAGCACCAACCTCAGTTGCTGAGCTAGAGCAAATCCTCTCACTTTTTCTTCTCCATAAATCTTTAGTGATCAATGAAGTTGCAATTTCTGTGAAAACACTGTGTGAGGCTTTTGTGGTAAACTTGGCCAATTAATTTCCTTAATGAAGTTAGAGCCAGCAAAAACTGCACTTAGATACATGCATAAACTGCACTGAAGTCAACTGCATGGCTTATGCACATATGGAAAAAAAATAGGTCCCAATATTCATAGTAACATTGTGTACATAAAAAGAATTTGTGGAATTAAGAATAAAACATGAGGCAATTTGTTGATTTGCCCAGGGAATATATGGGAGCGAGAAATGTGTAGATTATTCTGAGGTTGTTTTTTAGTGTCATTATCAGATCTGAGAGCTGTATATAAAAGTACATAGTCCTTCACATGCTAAAAGTATAGTTTGCTCAAACAATTGTAAAATATTCAGTATTCTTAAGATTAAATATCTGAATATTGCTTCTGAAGGAACAGCTGTCAGCTTAAATCTAAAGTCTAGTTTGTTTACTGGCTGTATTTTATATCTGTTAGAAAATGACACCAAATGGCAATAAAATTGTTGTAAGTATTCTACTGGGGAATATAAATGCCCTTTGGTTACAGTGTACATATCTTTATACATAATTCCAGTATATTTTCTCTAGAATTATGTTAAATATGTAAAAAGCCTTTTCTCATAAAGGTAAAAATGCTAGATGTTTCCAAGCTGTAATTTAGCATTAGTGTCAAGATTGCTTCTGAAAATAAGCTACGGTTACTGTTTCATTCTTTTTAAGTGTCACTCAGCATACCATATCTGATCTTGTATTCAAAATAAACCTAAGTGATTTTATTCACTTTTCCAGAAGTGCAAGAGACTTTAGACATAATTTATAGCATATGGATTGATGTAAATAGCTTAAACTAAGTAATTGGCTAGTCACCTAGACTGTCTTATCCTATTACTACCTGGTACTTTTCAAGTAATTAGGGGAAACAAATCTCTTTTATCCAGTAAGTTTAAATTGGATGAATCCTTGACATTTGTGTAGGTTTATTTGATAGATAAAATCATACTATACAAAACCTTACTCTACAGTGATGAGGTTTACTAGGCCTATAATAAGAAACTGATTTTTTGCTGAGTTAAAGTGACTTATCTTTGCCCTTTTAATAAGAAATCAACTCCAGTCAGCAAAAGTAGAGATAAAAATCACTGAGTTGGTGTTATCACCATGTATACAGCAAACACGTAACACTGTCATTATCTTTTCTGTGCATGGATTTGAAATACATTTAAAATGCTAAAACTCAATCATTTCCTGTATGTTACAGTAACATAATATTAATGAGTAAGGGAAACCATGAAAAGTGATTTATTTTGGGAAGGTCATTCCTTGGTTAGCCAACACCTAAATTGAATACTATAAAGAAGAAATATAAGTAAAAATGAAAATGGGTTTTACTGCATGTGAATTCTGTGAGTTTTACAATGCTTATGATAAAAGGACTGCACTTAAAAGTTTAACCTCTATAATTTTTGTGCTGCACATTAAAAAAAAAAAAAAATTATTTAACATTTCTAGGGCAATTCATACATGTCACCTTTTACTTAGTATTCCTTTTAAAACACTTATTTTTGCCTCATGCTTAGGAAACCTATAAAACTACTCTTCACACCAGACAGGAAATTCCTAGTTATACCAGAAAAGTTGGATTTTTAATGGGATCACCATACTTAAATAAGTATTTTAAAGAAGCTATTGCATAGGCAGACATTAATTCCTGGCTGCTGTAATCCTGCACATAGCACTTACAAACTGGTCTTACAGGGGAGAAAAAAAAAAAAGGGGGAAAGTATTATTAAAGTGAGTATTTTGGCTCCTTGGCTTAAATGAAGTTCACACTTAAGTGCTTTGCTGAATTAAGGCTTTGAGAAAATACTGTTTTCACTGAAGTAAAAAAGAGCAGGATGAGGTTATGAATATAACACAAATTCCTTATGAGTGTCCAAGGACTTTGAAGTAAGTTTATGCAAAATTCTTCTTATGCTGGTTGAAGAATATCTGCAGATACAGAAACATACCTAAGGTTGAAGTCACTGGGAGTTGAACACATGAATTGGAAGAAGAATTTGGCCAAGTGATTTAAAGATTGCTCTCATATCAGTGCGTTTGACAACCGATCTACTGCCACCCCAAAAATCAAGAGCTCGTTAGCCTGAACACACATTTCAGTTAGTTGGTCATGCTGATGGTACCCTCTCAATTATGTCTATATTTGCACACACTTTTTAAAGTTATTATCATTCCTGTGTTGTCTTGTGCCAAATTGTTCATTTCCTCCTATTGTACATGTGATTGCTGAAGAAAACCTACTAATACCAGCACCTATCATGCTGTAATGGCAGAAAACATCACACATCCAATGCACAAATGCTTGAATTAATGAGGTCTCACTGTAGTAATTAGGAATAGATGTTATGGCTCTTTCAGGTGTGATTCCTGAGACTCACAGAGATCAAAGTCAAAGCCTTTTCATTTTGCTATCTTCAGAGTTACATGTCTTCAGAGGTTCTTAATAAAAGGGAACAAAAAAACAGTTACACTAAAATAATTACATTTTTACCCTTGGTAGGTTACTATAATTAAAAAATGACTATTTTGCAGGAAAAAGGTTCCTAGATGCTTTCTAATTACTACTTGTATTCTGCAGCTCTACAATAGCATTGCCCAACCAAAAGAGAGGAAAAAGAAGTGAAAATTAGTTGTTTTCTTGCTCTGTGCAGACAAGGTATACAAATATACAAAAGCAGGACACATCACAGCTGCCACAGACCTGCTCTGTTCTTACAATCCCAAGACAGCATTTGTACAAATCTCTGGTGGGAAGAGTCTTGTTGATCATGAAGTAAGAGTAAAGGCAGCTGTTGTTCCTAAAACAGAGAGAGAATAGGGGACAATCTCTGCCTTTGCTAACATGCTTAATAGCCCTCCTTCCTTCACCACTAGTAGTGCAAGGAGGGAAATGAAAAGCAAAACAGGAGCTTGCCTTGTTTCTTCTTGTGAACTGTTGTATCCATTCTGACAGAAAATGGGTAAGATTATGAAATTAAATTATATAAGTAAACTTCTGGAAGAGAGAACTCTTACTCATACCAAAGGAAGATGCAACTAAATACATGCAAACTGACAGTTAATAAACTGAGGCTGGAGAACAAGAGGACTTCTGACCAAATAGAATGTAAAGATCCAGAAAAAAAGTTTTCATTGAATTACTGAGGACAAAATGCCTAAACTAGACTACATTTAAGTAAACTTAATATTTAGGACTAGTTCTAAATATTCAGGCTGAAAATGCTTAGACACAATGAGTTGTCCACAGAAGCAGCAGACTGGACAGATTATCCCAAGAAGCCCACGTAGTCTTCATTTCCTACACATTAAAAGCTATACTTGAGGTTGCAATGCAACCTTTTAGCTCCAAAACTATTTTCTAGCCCCACTCAAACACTGCTGCTTGCCTACCTGCTGTAGAGGAAAAAAAACCTGTTCCTGAGGGGCAGCAGCAGCAAGTGGTAAAGCTTAGGTGTATTTGCCCCATGGCAGCAAACTTCTTACTAGTCAGTGTAGAGTTTTAAAATTCATTAACTTTTAGAATATTCCTAATTTGGAACTGAAGTAGAAAGCCTTGACCTAAAAATGCACAAATGTATAATTACATCCATTTTCAGCTAAATGTAAGATCTCTATGTACGTTTTACTGCAATTATTCATTAAGCACATTTCTTATATGTAATTGTATTTAGATCTACAAGTAAAAATGCTGCAAAGCATGCACTGATCTCTGAAACTAAATGAACAGTTTTCAATACGTTGACATAAGACTCAGCCATAGAGAATTTAGGGATAGACTATGTTGTGATCTGTGTGGGAAACTGTAGAGAATGGCTTGAGCCATCCATATTGTGCAGTGTTCATTTTTGTGGCTGCTGATTAGCATCAGTTCAGAATCTGGAAGCTTCTGGGAAGACAACATTTCATTTATGGGAATATATTTATCCTCTCTCAGAAATACAGAAGGGAATAATGAACTGCACAAGTACACTAGGTTAAGATTGCCTCAGGTGTTAGAAGCCCCTCATTCCACAGCCTTGTGGAAGCTGAGTGAAACCTCATGACCAAAAAGCTGAGAATAACTTAATTGGAAAAAAATATTCTACAAGGAGATACTGTTCACAACAGGCAGAAAGCAGGAAT